TGACCCTCAGGGTGGTTGCTGTTTTCTACTAAGCTGCTTTAGAGCTCTCTCTCTATTTTTCTATCTCTATCTCTATCTCTCTCTATCTCTCTCCCCTTTTAGTAGTTAACCAATTTCTATGCAATTAACAATATACTTATATTAATACAAGAGGCCAGGGGCACGAAATTTATGCACAGGGTGGGGGTGGTCCCTCAGCCCAGCCTGCACCCTCTACAATCTAGGATCCCTCTCACAATCCAAGAATGCTGGCTCCCAACTACTCGCCTGCCTGCATTCCTGATTGCCTCTAACCACTTCTGCCTGCCAGCCTGATCACCCCCTAACCAATCTCATGCCAGCCTGATGGATGTCTAACTGATCCCCTGCCAGTCTGTTTGCCCCCAACTTCCTTCTCTGCCAGCCTGGTCACCCCTAACTGCCCTCCCCTGCTGGCCATCTTGTGTCCACATGAGGCAGCCGTTTTTGATCACATGGAGGAAGCCATCTCGTGTGTTGGAGTGATGGTCAATCTGCATATTACTCTTATTGGATAGGATAGAGGCCTGGTGCATGGGTGGGGGCCAGCTTGTTTGCCCTGAAGGGTGTTCCAGATCAGGGTGGGGGTTCCCTTGGGGTGTGGGCAGCCTGGGTGAGGGGCCTGTGGTGGTTTACAGGCCAGCCACGGCCCCCTGCAACCCAAGCAAAGGCCCTGGTATTTGGGGTTTATCTTCTACAATTGAAACTTTGTAGCCTAGAGTGGGGCCAAGCCTCCTGCTCTCTCCATGGTGACAGCCATTTCTGTTGGAATTTATGTATCTTTTATAATTGAAAGTTTGTATCCTTAAGCAAAGGCCTGGGCCGGCCAGGGTGTGTGGAAAGCTTGGCTTTCTCCATTGCCAGGGGCAACCTACCCTCCTGCTCTTCCAGCTCAGTGGCTGCTATCATTTCTGTTGGAATTTATTTACCTTCTATAATTGAAACTTTGTTCCCTTGAGTGCAGGCCTGGGCCCACTAGGGTGTGCAGAAAGCTTGGCTTCCTCCATTGCCAGGGAAACCCAAGCCTCCTTCCTGCTCTCTGTGGCCGCAACCATCTTGGTTGGGGTTAATTTGCATACTCACTTTGATTGGCTGGTGGGCGAGGCTTGTGAGTATAGCAGAGTGATGGTTAATTTGCATATTACTCTTTTACTAGGTAGGACTAGAGGCCTGATGCACAGAGTTAGTGCAAGGGACTCAGTCTCTGCCTGCAGTCACAGCCTGGGGGCCTCTGCCACCTCTGCCTCAACCCCTGCCACCCCGGCTTCGACTGGAAGGACATCCAGTCTATAATAATTAGCATATTATGCTTTTCTTATTATAGATTTTCTTCTTACTGGTCCCTCAATAATATACCAAGGTGATCTAAATGAACAGCACCACAAAGGGCAGATGATACTGTAACCTCTTGATGTGACTGATGCCTGCCCCAAGAGGATGGGACACAGATAGTATTCAGCCACCTGGAATGCAAATCCTACTCTAATTCAATTAGAGGAGATAATCCCCAAATATATTTTATTTAAAAAAGGGACTATGTTTTCCCCAAATGTCTACCTTAGCTATTTTTTAAAAAATAAATCTTTATTGCTCAGATTATTACAATTGTTTCTTTTTCCTCCCATAGCTCCTTTCCACCCAGTTCCCGCCCCACCCTCTGCCCTTACCTCCCCACCTCATCCCCACCATTGTCCTCATCCATGGGTGTACTAATTTTGTCATCTCTTCCTGCACCCCTCACACCCCTTTCCCCGATAATTATCAATCCACTCCCTTTCTATGCCTCTGATTCTATTATATTTGCCATTTTATTCTGTTCCTTAGATTTTTAATTCACTTGATATTTAGATTCACTTGTTGATATATATGTATTTGTTGATCATAATTTTTATCTTTTTTCTTCTTCTTCCTCTTTTTAAAGAATACCTTTCAGCATTTCATATAATATTGGTTTGGTGGTGATGAACTCCTTTAGCTTTTTCTTATCTGTGAAGCTCTTTATCTGCCCTTCAATTCTGAATGATAACTTTGCTGAATACAGTAATCTTGGTTGTAGGTTGTTGCTATTCATCACTTTGAATATTTCTTGTCACTCCCTTCGGCCTGCATAGTTTCTGTTGAGAAATCATCTGATAGTCATATCGGTTCTCCCTTATAGGTAACCAACTGCTTTTCTCTTGCTGCTTGTAAGATTCTTTGTCTTTTGCCCTGGGCATTTTAATAATGATATGTCGTGGTGTGGTCCTCTTTGGATTCTTCTTGTTTGGGGTTCTGTGTGCTTCCTGTCCTTGTAACTCTATTTCTTTCACCAGGTGGGGGAAGTTTTCTGATATTATTTCTTCAAATAGGTTTTCGGTATCTTGCACTCTCTCTTCTTCTGGGACCCCCATAATTCTGATGTTGGTATGCTTGAAGTTGTCCCAGAGGCTCCTTATACTATCATCAACTTTTTGGATTCTCTTTTCTCCTTGCTTCTCCAGAGGAGTGTCCTTTGGCTTTTTGTATTCCAAATCTTTGATTTGATTCTTGTGTTCCTCCAGTCTGCTGTTGGATCTTTTTATAATATTTTTTATTTTAGTCAGTTTAATTTCTAGTTGGGTCTTATTAAATTTGTCAGCCTTTTCTAGGAAATTCTTGAAAAACCTTATAAGCGTGGTTTTAAACTCTATATCCAGTCTTTTATTCTCCTCCATCTCTTTCGTTTGAGATCTATTTCTTTGTCTCGACATTTTTGATGTTTCCCAGAGTTGGTAGTATCGCTTTGTATTTTCGGTGTCCTATATGGCCCAGTAAGTCAGCCTCCCCAGTTACCTGAGGTAGACACTCTTGGTGCTCCCCTTTGTGTATTGCATGAACAGCCTTGTTGTAGTTAAGACTTCATTGTTGTTGGTATCACTTGGAGAATTGATCTCCAGGCCCATTGGATGTGAGTATTAGCTGTGTCTACTCAGAGATACCTTCTGTATTAGAGATAGTCTTATAGGATCAGACTTGCAAAATTGCAAAAGCCTCTGTGCTCAGCTTGGATGGGACAGAGTCTCAGAGCTGAGCTGACACTCTTGGCTTCCGGTCAGCCCTTTTGTGCTCACCTGAGTTTCCGTTCTGCCTTCCACAGCTTCCCTGAGTTTCCGCCTGACCGTCCTGATTCCCCGTGCAAGAGCGTGGGTGCCCCAGGGGATCGCCCAGAATTGGGTTTGGATCTCTGTAGTCTGGAGCTTCTGATTCCTTTTGCAGGACAAACTTGCGTGATATTTCAGTATCTCAAAACTGATAGGTCCAAACTGAATTTGAACTCATGCCCCTAGATGTGGTCCTTTCTTGCTCCCTACCTCTTGTGACCAATTCTGTTTTCTCAGTTGGCTGAACCAAAAACCTGGGATTCATCCTATACACCTTCCTTCCACTCCTTTCTTTCCCCCCCACATCCAACTAATAAAATAATTCTGCCTTTCTTCCTCAAATTCCCCAAACTCAGCCCCTCACTAGCTCCACCAGTAGTGCCCTATTCCATGCTCTTCAGCTCTCTCCTGAATCATCCAATCCAACTCCCTGAAGCCCAGTCATATCCCCTCCAATTTGTCCTCCCCACCACAGCCATAGCCATGGAGGTATCTAAAACAGGTCCACTCATATCACATGACTGCCTCCACCCATAAGTAAAATCTGACTCTCAATGTCATGTAAGACTCCGAAGGACCCAGCCTTTGCCACTTCAACTTCTTTTCCCAGCCTTGTATTTTAAAATCCAGGCACAAAGATACTGGTAGCTCCCTATACATTCTATCCCACTTCACACTCCTGGTACCTCCTCCCACAAAGCCTATCCAGCTACTGGGCTTGGTCTCTTCTCTAGGAAGTTGCCCTGACTTCTCTAGGTACCTCATTTAGGTTTCTATTCTTTTGTCACTACAAACACTGTACTGTATGAAAAGTATCTGCTTAGGTGTATGTCTACTACACTAGGGCTCCACAGACCTCGAAGGCAAGGACAGCATGATGATTGTACCTCCAGCACCATGCACAAGTAGATTCTCCATATTTGTGAGATATAAGGAACTGAAAAGCATCTGGTATTTTGAATATCAAGGACTTCAGAATTTGGCAAGAGATATAATTAAAACACATGCAAATTATGATAAACTGTAGATGGCACCAATATATAAATCATTGAAATACCCTTAAATAATTAAAAACTACATGTTAAGGGATAATACAGAGTTTATTGAATTATATTTTTATATTTACAACTGAGATCACATCTACATACTATTTTGCTAGTCTACATGGTACATTATTTCTAACAAAATTAGACTTACATTGAATGGGCTCAATCAGACAAACACACACTCTAATTGTTTTAAAACAGTAGTGCATACATTATATTATATTCCTCCTATAAAGCCAGTTTTAATTAAAAACTTCTAGTTTCAAAGATCAATCTGATTTTGAATATGAACTAAGTTGTACATTGTATAATTCTAAAATCTATTGTAGCCATTTTGTATAGTTGCTGTCTTATTGGATTATGGTATATAGTTTTTATAAGGACTCTGATGAGGGGTACCATCTGGTGTTAATTCTTCCTTCTTTCAAAAAAAAATAACACATTTGGCCAAGAGTTGTCCCTTGTGGTACTCCGAGGACCCAGTGGTACTTCAGCAGCAGTCCCATTGCTGCTTGGAGGAAACAGAAGCAGTCCACATCCTCCTTTAATTCTACCACACCATACAACTTGCAAAAGGCTCTGAAATTAGAACATATACCACTTTACTTAGAAAACTTAGGGATGTGAAGAATCAGTTAGAACAGGGGAAAAGGAGTCTTAAATGGCTAGGAAAGTAAGTGGGCACATGAAGAACCAAGCAGCTCTGTCTGACATGTGTGCTTAAACTAAATGAACTGTGGAGGCCAACAGCAGTAGACCTGCTCAATTCACCTTCCAAATTAGAACAAGACGAAAAAGCTCAGGCTTGAGTTTTCTACTATGCGTAAGTTCCGCCAGTGATGAGGAGCTCATAAGCTGGATCTCTACTCCTTCTGCACAATACAATGCATGCACACAGCATGCCCAGCAGCTGTGGGAAGAAAGTAACAATGGAAAAGAAAAGCTGAGAACCTTTATATGGCAAGTATATATTTCTTTGTTGGCAATGAAGTTGTTTCAAAGTCCAGAGACTTCAAATCATCAAAAAAGCAGTAACAAAAGAGAAGCAACATGTAATGAACACATTATTTTTTCAGAAACTAAATACCAAGTTTTAGCTTCCCTCACTTACATCTAAGAACAATTTGCGAAACTAGCCAAGAATCAAGGCTCTTCCTACTGTCATCCCCACTCCCAATCCAGAGCAATGCTGTACAAAAGGACTTTGTATTATACAATGATAGAAACCTTCTCTATCTGAGCTGCCAAGATATGGTAGCCACTAGCCACTGCAACAAAAGAATTGTGTTTTTATTTTATTTAAATTAATTTAAAGTTAAAATATGTGACCACTAGTTACCACACTGGATAAGAAAGCTCTAGAAAGTAGAATGATCAAAGCTATTTGTTGAGGAAATTTAATGGTGGTCTTTTCAGGCATATGGATTTGGAAGAGACAGGCTTTATAACAGTCCACAAATTTCAGTACATGTGTAGCCCCAAAGCTCTATGGCAGAACACACCCCCCCCTGCCGCCCCCCCCCCCCCAATATAATTTGCAGGTTTTGTTTCATTCACAATTATTTCTTATTTTTTAAATCCAGGTTTGGCTCTGAGATATTACATACATATTACTTTGTAAAGATCACAACTCCATCATTTTATTTTAATAAGCCCTAATACTTCCGCAGTAGCAAATTGGAATAGTAATAAAGTCATGCCACATTATTTTGGATAAGCTAGATGATTAAATTGAATTAAGCAGGAAACTATTCTAGAATTTTGACCTCACAAAATATAAGGCATGTGACTTTTTAAAAAAATATATATAGGGAGGGAGAGAGATAAAATGTTAGAAACATCGATAAGAGAGAAACATTGATCAGCTGCCTCCTGCACACCCCTTACTGAGGATGTGCCCACAACCAAGGTACATGCCCTTGACTGGAATTGAACCTGGGACCTTTCAGTCCGCAGGCTGATGCTCTATCCACTGAGCCAAATCAGTTTTGGCAGCATGTGACTTTTTACAAAATATAAACTAACAAAAGATCTAAATATGAGTAAGTTAATTTCCTGTTCTATTAATACTTTTCATTGATACTGAAAGGTCTCAGTTATTTGGTTTTAAAAGCCCATCACAAGAGACAACAAAGGTCACTACAAAATACCCAGGTTGTGATATACTATAGTTGGGTAAAACATTATCACTATAGGAAACTGCACAAAGCATATATGCACTCTGCACACTTCCAAATGTACCTGTCTAACAAAACTAAGTTTCAAATACAGAAGAGGTTAGAACCTGTTTTATTTTAAAGCCTTTTCTGTAAAAAAAAAAAAAATAAATAAATAAAATATATATATATATAATTGCTCCTATTAATATAAGAAACTAGAGTTGCAGAACCAGTCCTTGATTTATGTATATCCTACATAATAAAAGTATAGTATGCAAATTGTCCCCTCAACCGAAAGTTTGTCCAGGAGTTTGACCAGGGGGCAGGGCCAGTGGAGAAAAAGGAGGGAGGCCAGGCCAACAGTGGCAGGTGGCTGGGGAAAGGGAGGGAGGCTCTGGCTGGTGGCAACAGGTGACCGCAGGAAGAGAGAGAGGCCAAGGCATTGGCACATGGCCAGGGGAAGGGAGGAAGTACTTGGTCGGCAGCTGGCAGCCACTAGGGACCCTACAGTGCACAAATTACGTGCACTGGGCCTCTAGTCCTATCTAATAAAGAAGGAATATACTAATTGACCCTCATACCATCGCAAAAATGGCAGTGCCCACAGTCAATAAGATATGCTAATTGACTGCCACACCCTCAAAGATGGCTGCGTCCAGTCCCCTCAGACTTGCCAGGGTGGTAGACGCGTGGCAAGGCAGGCCTAGCTGCTCCATGAACTTGCCTCCGGAGTCCCCAGTCCTCTCAGCCCCCCAGCCCTTCAGGGCTGGACCGAGGTGCAGACAAGCCTTGGATAATGGCTGCCCAGCCACCCAGGGCCGCCCGAGGCTCAGTTAACCAGGGCTGGCTGAGGCTTGTGCTGCTGGTGGTGGAAGCAGCAAAGGTGGGATGGGACATTGCCTTCCCCTATTTCTGGGTTGCTTCCTGCCCCTGAGGGCTCCAGGACTGTGAGAGGGGGCAGGCCAGGCTGAGGGACCACCCCCCTCCAATGCATGAATTTTCATGCACCAGGCCTCTAGTAAACATACAGAACCCTTGAGAACAGAAAAATAATAACTGAAAGGAGAAAAATATTTTTAAAAGACTAAAACAAAGCTATTTCCAAACTGAAATAGAGCAATATATATATATTTTTTTTAATTCTGTAAAGTTCTATTAAAATATCTCCAAGAACATACAGTTCGTATTTTGAACAGCTCACTCACTTAATCAAGTCAAGAAAATAAGGCGGCCCTAGCAGGTTTGGTTTGGTGGATAGTGTCAGCCTGAGGAATGAAGGGTCCTGGGTTCAATTCTGGCTAAGGACACATGCCTGGGCTGTAGGCTTGACCCCCAATGAGGTCATGCAGGAAGCAGCCAATCAGTGATTCTCTCTCATCATTGATGTTTCTATCTCTCTCTCCCTCTTCCTTCCCTCTGGTTTCTTGAAACCATTCTGGGCCTAGGACTACAAATGGAAATAGAAGACGTTGGAAACTGGTGCCTGGTATCTCAATCATTTTCACTTAGTGATTAAAACCATTCAGGGCTGACATCAGAGAATCAATACACTCTGATCTTAACTGCTTGGCTAGCTCTGCTTACCTGAATAGCTGCAAATGCCAGTGCTGCCCAGATAACATGCATCATGATTTCTTGTAGCTTCTTCACAACTAGAGCCTCACACCCCTGAAACACAAAGTCATCCTTATTATATGTCTCTTTTAAAACTGAAAGCTACACAGTCATATACTACCACCCACTGGCAGAAATGGCAATGACAAAAACTAAAAGACAGAAAAAAGAAGGCCCATATATTTAAAAATTATTTACAGTAAAATAAAATAGCTTGAAGGAGAAGCAGAAGTCATGGAGATGTAAACTACAGCATATGGAATATAGTCAATAATATTGTGATAACTACATATGGTGTCAGGTGGTTATTAGGCTTATTGGGGGAGATCACTTTGTAAGCTATAGAAATGTCTAACCACCGTACTATACATCTGAAACTGATATAATATTGTATATCAACTATAATTGAAAAAAATTAAATTTTTTATATTAAAAAAGCTATAACTACAATCTGTACATAATATAATTTAAATCCTTAAAGAAAAATAATTGAAAGGAAGGACTCCAAAGAATATTTGCATATCTATTTTCACAGCAACATTATTCACAATAGCCAAAAGGGGCTCTTCCGCCATGCTGCCAGCGTGAGTGGGACAGCCCATGTTAGCATGGAAAGGGCTCTTTTGTTTATTGCATCAGACTCGGCTCCCTGGTGGTCCTAGGACCATTAGGGACCCCTATCCGGAGAGCCTGACTGGCCGCGGGTCTGCTTCGGAGAGAGTCCAACATACGGCACTTCTTCAACTAGAATGAGGATCCAAGATGGCTGCTCGGGTAGGCATCTAACCGCAGCAGCACACAACAATTTCAATGGAATACAACTAAAATGTAGAGTGGACATTGCCCAGAGCTACAGGTAGTTGACTGACTGAAATTTCTACAACAAGAAGGAAAGAGAAAACCAGAAAGAAAATCAGAGGAGCTGAAAAAAAGCCTAAGGTACGGAGACATGCTGCGCGCCCGCCCGCAAGCGCGCACGGAGAGGTCGCAGCCGGAGAGGAGGAGAGGGCGGGGAGCCGCCTTTCCTTCCCTAGCAGGAAGGAAATAAAACCCCCAGCCTGGGCTGAACCCCCGAACCAGCAGCGCTGAGCCCCCCCGAACCGGCAGCGCTGAGCCCCAGTTATGGGCCAGACCCTGGGGACCCAGGCTCCGGCGGGAGGAGACGGGGCCGTGAGGCAGAAAAACGGCGAAAAGCAGGGCCCCAGGAGTCGCGCGCAATGCGCGCAGAGGACTGAATGTTGACTCTGATGCTGGGTTACCCTAGCCGGAAGAAACAAGGCCACCTGCGGCGGTGAGCCTCAGTCCGGACTGCTCCGAACCCCAGTTCTGGGCTAATCCCTGGGGACCCAGGCTCAGGCAGAGGGAGAAGGGGCTGTGAGGTGGAGTCTGGGGAGAGCGGCGAAAGGCGGGCCCCCTGGGACTCGCACAAACTGCACGCAGAGGACAGTCTGTGGGACTCGCGCAAACTGCACGCAGAGGACAGTCTGTTGACTCTGATGCTGGACTTCTCTAGCAGGAAGGAGAAAAAAAAAAGCTATAGGCTGGGGGAACGTGGAGGGGAGCGGAAGCCCCTGCCGGACTCCAGCCAACCGGGCACCAGCAAGGAGGTGGGCCACGGGGCCCCTGGGGCGTGGGTGCCCCTGAGCCTTTGACCACTGAGCTCAGGCAATGGAGCCAAGGCCGGGGGCTGCTTCCTGGGCGGCGCCTTCCCGGCAACAGGCTGAAGCAGCACAGGAGCCCGCGGAGAACAAAGGGGTGCCACAGGCCAACCTGCTGAGCTCCCAGGACAAGGAGGAAGAAACCAAAGTTGTTCTTAATGTGAAGAAATCAAGTGAGAGCAAAAAATAGTAAAATTACTTAAGAAAGAATACAAAGAAGATCTTGAAAAATCAAAGACTAAGTCAGAACTCAACTCACCAGCCAACATTGCAACATAAATGCGTTTTAAAAAGAAAAAAGAAAAAAAAAAAGGACAGAATGTTGGAACAGCGACGGCCAGGCCTAGAGTGGCCAGGCACAAGGCAGTGGCAACCAGACCCGGAGCAGCAACGGCCAGGCCCCAGAACAACAGCAGCCAGAACCAGAGCATCAACAGCCAGCACTGGAGTAGCCAGACCTGGGGCAGTGGCAGCCAGGCATGAGGCGGAGGCGGCCAAGCCCAGGGTGGCCAGTCCAGGAACACCCAGACCCGGAGTGGCCGGGCCCAGAAAAGCCGGGCCCAGAGCAGCCGGGGTGGGAGCAGCCAGACCCAGAACAGCAGTAGCCAAGCCCAGAGCAGCCAGGTCAGGTGCGGCCAGGCCCGGAGCAGCGGCTGCCAGGCTGGGAGCGGCCAGGCCCGGGGGAGCAGGCGGGTCGGGTGTGGCCAGGCCCGGAGCAGCGGCTGTCAGGCTGGGAGCGGCCAGGCCCGGGGGAGCAGGCGGGTCGGGTGCGGCCAGGCCCGGAGCAGCGGCTGCCAGGCTGGGAGCGGCCAGGCCCGGGGGAGCAGGCGGGGCTGGTGTGGCCAGGCCCGGAGCAGCGGCTGCCAGGCTGGGAGCGGCCAGGCCCGGGGGAGCAGGCGGGTCGGGTGCGGCCAGGCCCGGAGCAGCGGCTGCATAAAACATTTCTAACAATGCAAAAACTTGTATTGTGATATCAATTGTATAGTAAATCAGTTACTTAGTTAACTGATTGTATAGTAAATCAGTTACTGATTTACTTGTATAGTAAATCAGTTACTTAGCATTTTCTCATATTGATATGAGAAAATGCTAAGTAACTGATTTACTATCTGAAAAGGGATTTACTATTGGGGAAAGGGAGGGAAGAAGAGACTGAACATAAACTGCACCTATGGATGAGGACAATGGGAGGGAAGAAGAGACTGAACATAAACTGCACCTATGGATGAGGACAATGGGGGATGGGGTGGGGGCAGAGGGTGGGGTGGGAACCTGGTGGAGGGGGGAAGAAATGAGGAACCTTTGTAATAATATGAACAATAAAGATTGATTTTAAAAAAATAAATAAATAATAAAATTAGAGAAACTACTAAAAAAAAAAAAAAAAATAGCCAAAAGGGGAAAGCAACTAAGTGTCCATCCATGAATGAATGGATAAGCAAAATGAAGTCTATCTATACAATGGAATATTATTCAGCCTTAAAAAATGGATGAAATTCTGGCTCTTGCTACACATGGATGAATCTTGAAGATGTAGTTAGTAAAAAAAATAAGGCACAATATGACAAGTTTTATATGATTCCTTATTTGAGGTACCTAAAATAATCAAAATCATAAGCAGAAAGTAGAATGATGGTTGCCAGGGATTGGAGGAGGAGAAAATGGAATGTTATTTAATGGGCATCGAGTTTCAGTGTGCAAGAGGGAAAGAGTTCTGCAGATGGGTAGTGGAGAATATATTTAATGCTACTGAGCTGTACACTTAAAAATGGTTAAGATGGCTTTTTAAAAAAAGACAAACAAAACAAGGTAGAAAAGAAGTTCCAGGTAGAGATGATTCAGAGAAAAACAGGTAATTAGGCTAGATTCAAATTTTAGCCAAGGAACTGAACTTACCTCAGCGTAGAGGTTGGAGGGATGGGCCAGACTGCCATTACAGCTGCTGGCAGTCTCTCTGCAGCAGCTAAGAGGAACACTCTGATTTTTGGTTTCTTTGAACCAGTCTGTATTTTCCCAGTCTGAGTAGTTGTGAATTCCACAACAGTGCAGCTATTGGAAAAGAGAATAGAGATATTACTCCTCACAAAATACATATACCTGTGTTGAACTTTAGAGTTCTGTGCACTGCAGAACCTTAAGTTATTCTAGAACAGTGATATCACAATACAAGTTTTTGCATTGTTAGAAATGTTTTATGTCAGCATGTCCAACATGGTAGCCAATAGCCATATAAGGCTATTAAACACTTAGAATGTGGCTAGAGTGACTAAGGACTTGAGATTTAAATTTAAATTTAAATAGCTGCATATGGCTAGTGCCTCTAAGAATGTCAATATGAAGAGCACAATGCCCACAAGAGGTCGTTTATAGCTAAGAAAAATCTTCCTATCTTACATGTGAAATACCTGGTTCTGAGTTAAATACTATTTCCAATGACACAGTGTTCGAAATATTTTATCTAAAATGTCTGTGATTTCCTTTAAGATAATTTAGCAAAAGCTATGTGGGGGTAATAGATGAAACGATTACAAACAAAACACTGACAGTTTTGAAGATGGGTTTCTGAACATAAAAATCAACTATACTATTCTATTTCCATGTATGTTTCAAATAGTCCATAATTTTTTTTTGCAGTTTTGTCAGTTACTTTTTCTGGTCTTGCTTTTAAAAGACAGGTAAGAAGATCTCCCACCTCCTCTGTAGTCCATCTGGACTCCCACCTTCCCTGTGGCACACACCTCTCTTCCTTCCATCACCACCTCTTAGCTAATTAGTTTTTCTTTGAGGAAAGTCGGATACATTTTATCTTACTTTGACTAGGTCGTGATGGGAAACAACTTTTCAAGTGTGAAGATAAAAACAGTGAACACATCATAAAGTTAACCATGACTGTGCAAGTATATGACTAATTTACATAGTAATAGCAGAGTAAGTTTCATGTTGACCCAACAGTGATTGGCCTCAAAAACAAATTCACCTCAAGACTACTCACCTGTCTCTGTACATAATCAATAGCCCGGCTAGCAGCATCAGGATTGGTTCCATTATAGGTCTTATATACTTTCTGAATGCTGTGGTCAACCTCATTTTCCACCTGAATCAAAACAAACAATTTGGCCCCTCTAAAATACTAGTAAAAAATAATATTAGTCAAGGCTCTAAGATGCATAAATGGCATATTTGCAAAATTGACAGACATCTCTGTAAATTTCTTATAAGAAAAAGTTTTACCCCTTCTTGGTTCTATACATATTCAGGTAAAGATTCAAGCATTTTATATCACATAGATTAAGCTTCAAAGAAAAGATTGTGTGCAAAGTGTCAGGCTAACAATCCACTCAAAAGGGAAAAAGCAGTTGAGCCTTGAGACAGATGTCCTAAATATTGATAATAAATGAACTGCTGCCTCCTCCTCTTTTTTTAAATCCTCACCTGAAGGTATATTTTCCATTTAGAGAGAGTAAAAGTGAGGAAGAGTGTGTGTGTGTTTGGGGGGGGGGGGGGGGGCGTAGGCGGGAAGGGGAGAGAAAGAGAGACAGAGACATTAATGTGAAAGGCAGGTGGACTGATTGCCTCCCACATACATCCCAAATCAAACCTGCAACTCCAGTCATGTGCCCTTTACTAGGAATTGAACATGCGACCTTCCAGTTTGTAGGCTGGCACTCTAACCACCAAGATCACTGGCCAGGGCAATTGCATATATATATATATATATATATATATATATATATATATATATATATATATTGATTTTAGAAAGGAAGGAAGGAGAGAAACATCAATGATGAAAGAGAATCATTGATTGGCTGCCTCCTTCTCCCCCTCCCCCCACACTGCAGATTAAGCCCACAACTCAGTCATATACCCAGGATTGGAAGTGAACCTGGAACCCTTCGGTCTGCAGGCCAACACTCCAACCACTGAGCCAAACTGGCTAGAGCTGCCTTTTTTAAAATAAGTTTTCAGTGTAGTCTCAGAAGACCTAGGCATTTTCCTTTACTTAAGGAGGTAAAAATAATGTAATTCAAAAAACACTACATGCCTGGCCAGAGTGGCTCAGTGATTGAGCATTGAGCCATGATCCAGGAGTTCATCAGTTTGATTCCTGGACAGGGCACGTGCCTGAGTTGTAGGCTTGACCCACAGTAGGGGATGTGCAAAAGGCAGCCAATCAATGATTCTCTCCTATCATTGATGTTTCTATATCTCTATGAAATAAAAAAATAAAAATAAAAAACACATGGGGGGACAAAAAACACAAAACACCACCACAAGATACTTTTGGGACAAATTATTAAACTTGGCCAAATATGCAAAAGTAATCAGCAGGTAAAGAAATGACACTTTCCTACTATGATAATTACTGAAGTGTCACTTAAAGTTTGTACCTGATTCTCCTTAGCCTTTGAGGATCATTAAACTTATTTGGTAATTTTATTACCGATGTCAGGATACTATAAAATTAATAACCAGATCATAGGTAGGAGCATAATCCACTGCATTCCTTTTTTTATATAGTTGCTCAATACCTTTTGTATCAATGATTTGAATATTAAATTAGAATATCATGCTTTTGATTTAAAACCATACCTTACAATGAGTCTATACCATGGCTCTAAAATTATGCCCAAATTAATTAATTTAAAGAAATCTGTTTAGCCTTAAATGGTACTGTAAGTGGAAAGCAAAAGCAGGCAAAGTAGAAAGGAAAGAGGAAAGAAAATTAAAGAGAATGACAAGGAAAGAGGGACAAGAAGGGAGTGGCTGCAGCAGCTGCCTTGGTGTTCGAGTTGGCAGGTCACCTTGTTCCTTAGGATGAGGTAGAAGGTAGGATCACACAACTCACAATCATCTTTTTTTCTAAGACATTTTTAAAAGAGGCAATGGAAAGCAAAACAGAAATCAGGAAATTTGCATTTCCCCTCTTATATAGAGAATCTATGGGCAGAGGAAATTTGAACAAACTTCTTAGTTGACTAATTATTCATCTATAGCTCATTCTGAATAATTTAAAGAAAACTAAATATAAACAAACTAGAACAGGAGTAGAATTAACACTTTGCTATATAAAACAAGATAAGAAATCTTGACATATGAACTTTAGATGTTTAATACAGTGGCTAAACTGAAGTATGGCAAAAGAAAATGTTTACTTTGATAAAATGAATTTGGTCTAAAACCACCTTTTAAAGCATATAAATTATAGTAGATAACATACCTTTGCTCTGTAAACATATCCCAAAACCACTACAACAACTTCTGTGACAAAAACTAAGAGTAGGATGATGACAAACTGCAAGGAAACATAGTCAAAAATTAAATACAAATAAAAATAGCACTAAATACTCTCTTGATAAAAAAAATGATCTAAGATAACTGTTATAAGTTTAAGACAAGTGCTAATTCTATTCCAACAATAGGAACCAATCTATGGAGTTTCATGCTTAATTCAAAGCAAATAACCCAAATGAAATATTCCCACATATTACGATGACACATCTGGTCAAAGAAGAGCTTCTAACTTACCGTGGCCAATCCACAGCGGCTTTCCCGGATTGTAGCACAGCAGCCAATTAGCCCGATAATGAAAAGCAAAGCTCCTACAGCTATAATCACCACAGCAGGGATGAGAGTGTACACATCTTCAAAGAAGTGGTCATAGTCATCGTAAGTGATGAAGACATAGGCTCCCACATAGCATAAAATGCCAGCTGCCCCCTGTGGAAAACAAGGGCAGAATGCTGGTAAGTTTCTAAGGGCTGCTGGTAAATGTTCCAGTAGGTTATAATTCAGTGAGATTTTCCATCATTTTTAAATCTATCTGTATATTTTTTTTCAGAAACTGGAAAGTCTCCTATTATGCATTAGCAAGAATATTTCTTTACTTAAGTTGAAAAGTTTTTCAAACTCTATCTACTTTTCAATAATTGCTGATTTACTTAGAATAAGAAACTACAAATTCAGTAATAATGATGACAAGAATGAATCTCACAAACACCCCAAATGTTTATTTGTAGCTCAATTACAGTACCATATAAATCAAAGAAGGGGTAAGGAGGACACATTTGCTCATCACAGGTGCCCTCAACAAATAAGGAAATTAGATACAAGTTGCAGGGCCAGGATGTGACCCCAGCATTCTGACTCCAGAATCTGAATTTATTACCTACTAGAGACCCGGTGCATGAAATTCATGCACTGGGGGGGGGGGGGGGGACGGACACACACACACCCTCAGCCCAGCCTGCACCTTTTCACAGTCTGGGAGCCTTTGGGGGATGTCCAGTTGATTGCTTAGGCCTGTTAGTCAGACATCCTTAGCGCTGCCCCAGGCAGGAGAGGCTGTGGCCACTGCCTGTGCTTGCCAGCCGTGAGCTCGACTTCTGGCTGAGCAGTAGTCCCCCTGTGGGAGTGCACTGACCACCAGGGGGAAGCTCCTACATTGAGCAGCTGCCCCCTAATAGTCAGTGTGTATAATAGCAACCAGTCATTCCATCATTCAGCCAATTTGCATATTAGCTTTTTATTATAGGATACCTATCCCTTTAGGGGAAAAAAATAATACCTAGTAACAATGATACCCATTACCAAAAAACTTGCTGTCCTAGTCAAGGTTGTGAAATGGTTAAGATTGAGGACTCATTTATAGCAAACTTTGCAAACTCTTAGGGACTATTTAGTCTTCTCAAACTAATGTGAATAGGAATCATCTGAGGATCTTATTAAACTATGAGGCCTGGCACATGAAATTCATGCATGGGTCCTGTCCCTAGGCCTGGCCTGCAATCAGGGCCATCTTCCCCAGCTGCCAGCAGCCGGCCCCACCACCCACCACCATCACCCACCCCAGTTTCCCGTTCACTATCAGGTGATCAGAGCCTGCTGGCCAGGGGAAGGGACCGAGAGGTTGGCCAGCAGGCCCCAATCAGGTGATCATGGCTTGTGGGTTGAGGGCAGCTCCTGCATTGAGAATCCACCCCCTGGTGGTTAGTGAACATCACAGTGACTGGTCGTTCTGCTGTCTGGTCAATTTGCATATCACCCTTTTATTATATAGGATAGACTGATTTAGTAAGTCTAGGGTTGAGGCCTGAGATTCTGCATTTCCAACAAGTTCCCAAAGATGCTGATGTTGCTGATTCTTGGACTACACTTTGACTAAAAGGTTATAGAGCACCTGTAGGGAAAATGTTGCAGTAAGTCAGAGAACCGATATGCCTTATTTCGGCTGCTGCTCCAACCACCATTCTCCAGCTGCAGTTTTATATACATTCTCCTCTTGCATTATTGATTTTGCTATTATTATGTACCAACTCAATGTTGACAGCCCAAGACCACTTGCTTATGTGTGAATGACCAAATACAGTGTGAGGCTAAGTATTAAAACATTTGGTTTAATGAGTCATAATTTGTAAAGCACTTTGAGATTTTCACAGAAAAATAATTACTTCACCATCCTTTAAAATTTAACACCTAAATCATTAATTTTCCAACTACAAAATAGTCTCCACAATGACACAGGAAAATAATTCCTTTCAACCTGAACACTCAGTTTATTTCTTAGGTCTATGGCACCCAGTAAGCTTGGGCATCATCAGTAAATTTTCTTACAATAGATCATTAGAATCATTATCAGATCTGATAGAAAAAGACTACATTTATGTAAAGTGGAGAAAGTAACTTATGTTTTCTAAATATCATGGATCTTTTTTAAAGACAACTAGAATAATGGAGGCAATTTTTTAAAAAATATATTATTTTTAGAGTTTCCATTCAAGATGATGGAATAGATGTGGTCAGCTGCCTCACATGCCTCCACACGTGCATGTGAGGCAGCTGAGAAACCAGAGGGATATCTCAGCTATAAAGGTGTCCCCTAAGAAGCCAGGGATCCCAGCCCTGAACTGGGGTCCCCAGCCCAGACAACAAGTGCTGGGAAGAGAAGCCCCCACAACATCTGGCTTTAAAAATCAGTGGGGTTTGGCTGGAGAGGGTCAGTGGTTGAGTGTCGACCTATGAACCAAGAGGTTGCAGTTTGATTCTGGGTCAAGGCATATTTAGGTTTGATCCTCAGTGGGGGTCGTGCAGTAGGTAGGTGATCAATGATTCTCATCACTGATGTTTCTCTCTCTCTTCCTTCCTCTCTGAAGTCAATAAAAAAATTTTTTTTTTTAATCTGTGGGGATTTTGTCCTTTTGGGTGAAGACTAGAAACCCAGCTGTCCTCTTAAAGAGCCTCCACACAAACTCTTGCTCACAGACACTCACCTTGGACTTTGGTGTAGTGACAGTGGCACAGGGGATGCCAGATACATATAGGGAGAATCTGAGTTGTGTGGTCAGGGCAAGTGCTGGAGGGATGGCCGCTATTGTCCCTGTGTTGAGCTCTCCTCCCTCATGGCCAATAGGCACCATCTTTCTTGTGTGGAGCACTCTCTCCACTTCAGCCATATCTGAATCTCCTTTAGCCAAGTGAAGACCACTCAATTCATCCTGACAACTCCCAGAAACCCTGCCCCACCACAAAGTTCCACAGGCCACAGGCAAGTGGCTGTTAGCCTTGGTGTACCATCACTTTTGCTAACTGGCATCAAGCTCTGCGCTGACACCAAATCTAAATCTGCATGAACATCGTGAACACCCACTCACCCCACCCTGCTGACTTCCTGAGACTCTACAACACCCAATTCATGATGTCCAAGGCTCTTTCAGAGGCTGATTGATGAAAAGAGGATCAAATTAGTAATTTGGAAGACAAGGTATCAGACAACACCAAATCAGAAAAGCAAAAAGTAAAAATAAACGAGGGGAGTTTAAAGGACCTCTGGGATGACATCAAGCATAACAATATTCACATTATAGGGTTACCAGAAGAGAGAAAAACAAGAGATTTAGAACATATTTGAAAAAGTTATGAATGAAAACTTCCATATGCTGATGAAAGAAATAGATTTCCAAGTGCAGGAGGTGCAGAGGACCTAAATAAGATTATCTAAACAGATCCATATGAAGACAGATCATAATTAAAATGATGAAAAAAAAGAGAATCTTAAAAGCAGCAAGAAAAAGTCAGTTAGCTACAAGGGAGCTCCCATAGATTGTCAGTTCATTTCACAATAGAAACTTTGCCAGGCCAAAAAGTAATTGGCACAAAATATTCAAAATTATGAAAAGCAAGGACCTATAACAAAGACTAATGATAACCAGCAAGGTTATCATTAAAATGAAAGGTGAGATAAAGAGCTTCACAGACAAGAAAAAGTTGGAGTGGATCACCAACAAACCAGTATTACAATAAATATTAAAGAAACTTTTTTTAAGGGGGGAGGTAAAGAAACAATAATAAAATGGCAATGTATATATGTTACCTATCCTTAATCACTTTCAATGTAAATGAATTAAATCCTGCAAACAAAAACATAGGATAGCTGAATGGATAAGAAAATAAGACCCATATATATGCTGTCTATAAGAGATCCACTTCAGAAATACACAAAGAGTAGAGAGATAAAAGGATATTTCATGCAACTAACTTTATATTTTATTGATTTTTTACAGCGAGGAAAAGAGAGGGATAGAGAGTTAGAAACATCGATGAGAGCAAATCATACATCAGCTGCCTCTTGCACACCTACTACTGGGGATATGCCCGCAACCAAGGTACATGCCCTTGACCAGAATCGAACCCGGGACCTTTCAGTCTACAGGCCATCGCTCTATCCACTGAGCCAAACCGGTTTTGGCAAAATATATATCTCTATATTTTTTAAAATATATTTTATTGATTTTGTACAGAGAGGAAGGGAGAGAGATAGAAAGCCAGAAACATCAATGAGAGTATCGATCAGCTGCCTTATGCACACCCCCCAGTGGGGATATGCCCAACCAAGGTACATGCCCTTGACCAGAATCGAACCCGAGTCCCTTCAGTCCCCAAGCTGACGTTCTGTCCATTGAGCCAAACCAGTCTCGGCTCGGCAAAATATATTTTTAAAAATATATATTAGCAAATAGGATCTAGTAATACATTAAAAAGATCATAAACAATGACCAAGTTGGATTTATTCCAGGGATACAAGGCTGGTACAACTTTTGCAAATCAATAAATATGTTATATCATATAAACAAAAAGAAGGATTAAAATCACATGATTATTTCAAGTAATGCAGATCATGAATTTTTGACCCACGCTGCAAAGAATATGGAGCACGAGCAGAGGCTGGGTGAGCTTCAGTGTGGGAGACAAGCCAATTTGAGATCAGATTCGATCCAGCTTCATTCAACATCACTACCAGCTATTTGATAATGACAGAACCCAATTAGGCGCAATTTACATCAGCACATCATTCCTTACATGGGAAGGACAGCAATTCCAGGGGAAAGCTGCCATTTGTGGAGAAGTTGTCTAGCCTTTAGTTCCAGAAAATCCAAGCATCAAAGTGCAGGACCATCAGCCCACACTAGATAACTGCTCCTCAGCATAGCTGTGGGCCAGCTTAAGGCTGATGAAGACCCCATCATTAGATCCCATCAAATGTTCTTATTGAAGAACATCAAAGATGTTTGAGTTTGCACCAATGACATGTTCAGACTTGCCCTGCATAACTTTGGTTGACCTTCTCCCAGCCAGGCACTCATGCTGTTTCCTCCTCCCTCCTCTTCCAGATACTATTCACACTCCTCCAGGTGCTCCAAATAGCATATACAAATGAGCAGGAC